CTCTACTGTTGGCGCCAGGTCATCAAGGCGGTCGCCTGGCTGTGTAGTCACTGGTTGTTTGATGGCTTGGGCGCCCAGATGCTTGGGCTGTAACTGTTGGGCGTTGGGTTCCTGCGTTATTCGGTCAATGTCGCAAGGGAGATACACCTGGGATGCCGGGCACTCGTATCGATGGCTGCAAGAACGTGGGGTGTTGCAGGAGGGAGAACGTGAAGTGGATTGGGACTCGAAGCAGGTGAATGAGATGGAAGCAGGAGCGCCTTGCGCTTGCAGGGAAGGTCGTCAACAAAGGGAAAAAGGGAACAGCAGATAACGCATGTAAACATGGCTGGTGTAGGGAAGTATCTTTTTAGGCTGGCTCATGTGTTGAGCACTTGCAGTACCTCTGCATTGCGCGAGATTGAGTGAGCTGTAAAGTACCTTCCCCACTACATGTCGCTTTCGTTCTCAATGAGGTACCTATTAGCCACGCAGGGACTGGGCAGTCACTAACACGCGGCTGAATGCGACACCACAAGGAGCAGCGCAAAAGCGTAGGCAAGGTACCTACCTAACTGTATCTACCTTCGGGACCCTGGCCAACGACAGAGGCCCGCCCTTAATTAACAGCGACACCTCCCACCTAGGACTTGGCCACTCTTGGGAGCTCATTGACAGGGACAGTGGGATGACGTCCCATCTCGCGTTTCAACTGGGTTTGTGAATCTCTGATCCCCGTCCAAGCCTGACGGGTGCAACAAAATCCATCACTCGTCGTGGCAAAACAAACTGAAATAAAAGAAAAATCAGAGCACAGATTTATTCTCATCAATTCAAGAATGCTACGTGAGCGTACTGAATGTCTACCGTAACGTCAAGATCACATTAGGTCGTCCATCAATTCATATGTCCTGTGGCGAGCGGTGAGCTCCTGCAGGTTACCTACCTGGTGAGGTGCAGAGTTTAGGCGCGGACCCCACGGAAGACCCCATGGCTGTCCGATGCCGACCTTGGCAAGTGAGTACAGGGTGAGAAGCCTGCGATCCGAATCCATGTTGCATTACCAACGCCTAGCATCAGTATCGACCAACGAAAGCTGGATCAATATCGATAGCATCTATCCGTTTATCAGGTGGTCTGCAAACAAGCAGGGGGGGTCAAGGCACATGGGATCTGGATGCGCATATAAAACACTTCTTTGAAATGTCTGTTCGAGGGGCTGGTCAGGCCGCCGTTGCAGAATGAACGCCGGTCGACCAGATTATTCAACTGTCATTGCTATGGACTGCTTCAACGTCTCCCGTCTGACTCTCCACCACTACGGATCCGCCAGTTGTTGGCCGTTCAAACCAGGCTATTGTATTGGCGTCCTTGTATGCATCACTTACGCACGTTAGGCCCCTTTGTTCGGGAGCCAATAGCTTTGCCTCCTCACACAGACCGCCCTGACATACTGTTTGCTGCGCTGCAGAGCATTGCACATCCAGCGTCGGAAGTAAGGCGCATGGGTGAACGCCGAAAAGGTTGCATGATTGTGCGTTGGCCTGGCCTAGATTACAGACAACACAGAGGCACCGTCAGCCCTGACCGAGCTCGCCCCGGCATGCCTCGTCAGCCACGTTAGGCATCAGTCACTCACACACAACAACCAACCGGGCACACATGCATTGAAGGCTCGAACTTTGTGGCAATGAACAACTTTACCATCTGACGATTCCAAACACCGTCATTCTCTGGCAACGAATCTGGAAACCCTCAGCCTCGGGGGTCACTGTGGTCAAGGCAGTCCACATGCGGATTCACCGTCATTGCACGTTCCGCAAGGGCCCTGCGCTGGGCCAGTGCTATATTGACACACTACGGTTTGAAACGAAAGATCTGGATTTCGAGTCTTTTGCTGAAACAAATGCATAGCACGTGGGCAGCAACATGATATCGCCGCAGGCTCGCTACCGCATCTCCTTGCCATGCCGAGATCATATAACGCGGTGGTCAAATCCGCTGTAGCATACCCGATCTGTCTCAGCGATGGAATACCACGGTGAAAAGCTACATAGCCGTTGGTATTGATAAAAGTTGTGTCTGTGACTTTGCGCTCGTACAAAAGTTACCTCCCAGGCAATTAGTCTCTTAAACGCACAGGTAATCGGCCTAATCTCACGACTGGACGACTTGAATATTGTGCTTCTTCTGTAGAACTTGTTAAAACAAGTTCCGGGTGTCTTGAGGGGGACCATACACACCTTCCATTTCTCCAACTCATCTTGTTTCGTTTTGTACTGCTTCACAAGGTCTTCGAGGACCTTCTTCAGGCCCTCGGAATTAGTCTTGAGCGCAGGCATAACATCTTGAACCGTCTGTTCCATCAAAACACCGTTGATAAGACGGAATGCCTTGCGGTCTCCTGACAACGGCTGCAGGGTTTCAAGAACCAGCCTGCAGTATGGTTAGAGGGGCGGTGAGGGTAGGGCGGTCAAGAGTACAAGACGTGGGAGGAGCCTTGGTAGAAAGAAGACGCTCGCAGTTGCGCACAGAAGTCTTCGTGGATACAAAGGCCCGGCCGAACGAAAAGATGGACCTGAATACGAAAAAGAATTGTGGCAACGTACTTGTGTTCCTCAGCCTCCTGCTCTACATCACCGATCTTCTGTGCAATCTGCTGCAGTGTGTTCTTGTAGACAGTGTACTGATTTTGCAGTTCTAAGTCGGAACCACGTCAGTTAGACGGTCCGTCCATCAAGTTTTCGAATCACGCACCTTGCTGCTTCCTTGGATTGGCCTGTGCTGCGGTTTGAGACGACATAGTTGTGAGGGGCTTGTCGAGAACTTTCGCATTCGACCAAATTCAGTGCGGCGCAAATGACGAAGACGAAATGAATACGTCTCAGTGATGGAGCGTGTCCAGTCGTTCGAATAGATGCGAGATCTCGCTAGTAAACCTGTTGTGCCTCGATATACCCTCGACAAGGTAACTAGACTCGTGAGGATGACCCTGGAGACAGGCTTCAAGTGGTGGGCCGCTGATGAGTGTGAGGGAGAGTACTGGCGCACAGTGCTGAGGTAATGCTGCGCTGTGGTCCGTGCGCTTTGCTTCGACGCCTGAGGTCGATGCCGTCTTCCATTTTCTTCGGAGCTTCGCGACCAGCTCTGTGCTCCATGCAATCAGCTGTCGTCTTTTGATTCTGATCGAACCCTTCCGACCCCTTCTCGGCCACGCAAAAAGCAGATCTACGCAGGTGATCCCGAGATCGACTTTCGTCATGTCCGGCGGAAAGAACCCAATGGAGGAGGCCTACCAGCGTCTCCGCGCCGTAGCGCAGCAGACTCAGCGACGAGGCGGAGGTGGTATGCCTGGAGGACCTCGAGGTGTTGGTATGGGCGTTGGGGCTATGATTGCCCTAGCAGGCACTGCCTTTTTTGCTCAGAACGCGATCTTCAACGTCGATGGTGGCCAGAGAGCCATCAAATACCGGAGAATTAGCGGCGTCGGCAAGGATATCTACAACGAAGGTATAGTTAAGATCCGTGTTATCCGAGCCTCGAGTTCCTGAACTTGTGTCCCTTTACTCACCTTTGTTACACTAGGCACACATTTCATGCTTCCCTGGCTCGAAACGCCGGTTGTATATGATGTCCGCGCGAAGCCGAGGAAGCGTCGCTTCCTTGACCGGTACCAAGGATCTGCAGATGGTCAACATTACATGCCGAGTGCTGTCCCGACCGGAAATCAACGCTCTGCCGCAGATTTATCGCACTCTTGGCACGGACTATGACGAAAGGGTGCTTCCTTCAATCGTGAATGAGGTCTTGAAGAGTGTCGTCGCGCAGTTCAACGCGAGCCAGCTGATCACTCAGCGAGAGATGGTCGCCAAGCTTGTTCGCGAGACCTGTCGAGAGGGCAGCTCGATTCATATCCTTCTTGACGATGTGTCCCTTACGTTGTCCTTTCCCCGATATATCAGTACTCAGTACTGACGTGCCTGTAGCATCTCGCTTCTCGCAGAGTCACTGCGCTGTAGAGCAGCAGTGCACAGCAGAGCCCAAAGGGCTGCTTCATCGTCGACAAGGCTCGCCAGGAAAAGCAGGCTATGGTCGTCAAGGCACAGGGTGAGGCGCGGTCAGCTGAGCTGATTGGTGACGCCATCAGAAAGAACAAGGCGTACGTCGAGCTGAAGAAGATCGAGAACGCTCGTTTCATCGCCCAGCAGATGCAGGAATCTGGCGGAAAGAACAGGCTTCTGCTAGACTCTGAGGGTCTAGGTCTCAATGTCTTTGAGAATGTGGAAAAGAAGTAGAGCACATGAGGCTTCTCATCGCCACCGATTCTCTAGGATGCTAAATCTCCACTGTACTACACCAAAGCCGATCTGGCTAACCTGTACTATACTCCCATTAATGAACAGCGTTAAGGGTTGATCCTAGGATCATACGCCGAGTCCGTCTCTACTATACTTGATATTCTCACCCAAGCCCAACCTTATAGTGGGAAGGGCTACAGCATGCTGCCGCCGCTCTCAACTTCCCTCTCACGCATCTCACTCCTTGAGCCCATCGTTAGCAACTGCTTGAAGATTCTCATTTGCAGAAGGAAGTCATTAGGACTACTTCCCCCGTTGGCTAATAATGCACGGAGAACCCGGAGGAATTCAACATGACTGTGCTTTGAGAGCTAGATGTAACGCATACTGGCATGTTATTGGTGCTGCCTGATATGTTGCGACTGCGATCTCTAGTAACTGAGGTAAATAGTTAATCTTCACCCCATGCATTCAACCGATCACGGTCTGTCGGCGTTAGGTATAGGCTTGACAGGCCGTTGACGATCACGAACGCTAGCAAGCCTCCGAGCTTGGGTCGATGACCCACTCACAGGTGCTGGGGCGGGCCGGGAGAACCCCGCCCCCACCAGAAGGCAGCGACCTTCTAGCAAGTCTGGTGGATGGTAGAGCTCCTTCTACATAACTACCTATTTAGCTTGCCTTCGGATACCTTGATACCTAGCAGGTACTTCACCGATCATCGACTCAGAGAATAGTTGCGTAAGACATCTACCTCTCTGCGTCCGTTCTACCGACTTTTTCGACCGTAGGCTGCAACCAAGATGCTCATCAAGTACGAAAGACTCCCCGACTCAACCCTCTATTCAGCCCCTTGATTGACGGCTGCGACACAGGGTCCGAACGCTCACGGGCAAGGAGATTGAGCTGGACATTGAAAATGAATACAAGGTTTGTTTTTGGTCCCTGAATCAGTAGCACCACTGTCCGCTGACTTTACTTGCGCAGGTCTCGCAGATCAAGGAGAAGGTAGAGGAGAAGGAGGGAATACCGCCGGTTCAACAGCGCCTCATCTTCGGTGGCAAGCAGATGTAGGTCCTAATCAGCTTCTCGAACACCCATATTTCAAGAAATTTGAACATCTGACCGAGTGCAGGGTTGACGACAAGTCAGCATCCGAATACGGTCTCGAGGCTGGTGCGACCCTTCATCTTGTTCTGGCACTCCGCGGCGGAGCTGCCATGGGCGGAAAATAATGCATTCGGTCGGATGGTCTTGAAGGTCCTGGGAAACATAACCCACAAACAAACATCATGCCACTGGTAGTCCATTTAGAGGTGATCCTGCGTGCAACAGACCGCTACGCACACATAAATAAGGCCGGCGTCATCGGGCTCGGTGTCATGGGTATTTACGCGGAGTCAAGAAAGTCTCAACTGTCTTGGACTGCAGGGGCTGCATATGGGTAATCATGACCATGCCAATCGTTCTGCTGCACCACTTGACGACCGAGGAAGCTGGTCAAAGAGTAGTTGCTCGAGTGCTCCGAAATCCAGCGTCACTAGTGAAATGATGTCTCATTTGTTGGCGCAGACTGCAGAAATAGAAACAATCGCATTTAGCCACCCTAGATCCAGGTATCTTCCATCTTAACGCCATGCTCCCAACCCTATTCTATACAGAGACACCTTAGCCCAGATACTGCCTGGATGTCGTAACCAATCTGAAGAATCCAATGAGGAATGCACATTCGCATTATCGACGCTTCTTAGGCATAAATATATCGACTGCCTTTCGCTTCTTGGTTGCTGTAGAGATATACTGCTGGTTATTAGGGGTCGGAGACGTTGCCTTCGAGCGTGACTGCGGCGGTGATTTCCGAGACTCACTCACCGGCAGAGAATCATCTCTGCCTAGGCTCTGTGCCGGGGTATTCCGAGCTGGGCCTGGGCGCGTCGGCTTCGCCTGTGCGCCTGTCGAGTCACTATGGCGCGTGTTGCGGGATGATGCCGACTTCGATTGATCTTCTGCGAATGTTGTTGTTTTGGCCTTAGACTTGGGCGCATTCGAGAGAAGCCCTGGGCGCTTTGCTGGTTGTGAAGAGGCGCTTGAGGACGTTATATGTGGAGTATTGTAACTTCGGCCGGCCACATCAGGTCTCACTCGTTTGTCTTGACGGGGCTGTTCGTCGTCCTGTTCGTCTTCGCTCCAAAGTTCGTTATCTGATGAGTCCGAGATAAAATTGGCCTTTGGGTTGGGCCTGCTGGATTCCCGAATGTCGGCCGCGTTCTGCTGAAGTGAAGAACGGGCTCTGAATGCTGGCTGAGCGGCGATTCGACGAGCGTTGACCATCCCGACAGGTGCTCTTATGACTGTGCCTGTCGGAGCCCTGCTCACTGGTCTGGCTAAAACGCCCCCAAGCTTGAGGTGATGTTCTGCAGCCTGTCGACGAGCCTTACGTAGCACGCCGGCGCCAGTGTTCATCTTGGTGCGAGTACCACCGCCAAAACGGAGGGTGCTTGGTGCATCTCTCCCGCCAGGACGCGCACTTGTCCCAAAGGTCCGGCCGGTCTTTGGAGGTCGCGGCAGAAATTTTGGGTCGTCAACAAGCCTGCTGACACGAGATTCCTTCTTGTCTTGGAGACCCTGGAATTGGCGGCGCAATTGTTCCTCAGCCTCTTGCCGGGAAAGTTGACGTTCCATCGTGTATTTCTCGTAAATTTTGTACCACTTGGTTGGGTTTTTGGGGAAGTAATTTTTGTCCCGACTTTCAACTGGAAATTCCTTTGCTATCAGGCGCTGCCAGGCTTCAGTAGTGGCAACCTGTGGGGAGTTGATCTCGATCGTGCGTAATTGAGCAGGATCCCATATCCTCGAAAGCAAATCGCGAACATAATGCGGAGGTAGCAGAAAGTCGCCATCGCCGAAGCTTGTCAGCTGGCTTATATGCTTCTGACAAGCTTCGAGGCATAGCTCGGCTAATGACTTGGGAGGCGGCATAGTGTCTGGGTAGACCTATGTATCTCCCACCTTGATGGTTTTCGAGTGCGTATATTTGTGCACTCCTCGGAAGGTTGACGATTCTGAGAATCAGCACAGAGGTGAATACGAATTGAGCACTTCGCGAATGCAGGTCGGTACAGGCACTGTCAGGGTAGTGACGATAACGTTAGCGAACAGAGCCGAGAAAACAGAAGAAGGCGTGGAGATCACGGGTTCAAGGACAGCACAGATTACTCACTTTGCTGCATGGATAGCTGCACTAGCTTGAAGTATTACGTTGAAATGAGTTGTAATCGTGAATGATTAAGCTTCTAGTGATATGTATTGGAAGCTGGAATGGAATCGGAAGACCAAGATCGAGAGGTGGTATGAGGATAATACGGCATCAATCTGAAGCCATCAGGTTTGACGATTCTTCATGTTGTGGCGCTTGGAGAGTCGCCTCGTGAAGCCAATTGTAGTCTTGCCGGCGTTTGCTTGTAGGTCAATGGTTCTGGCCGCTGCTCCAGGAATACCTATATCATGAGGCCGAGCCTGTTATCTTATCTTAGTGTGCTCGTCGGAGGGGTGGGGACTGTTTGTGCATATATGGGTCCGTTGTTCTTCTTTAAGCCAATCATCGCGTAGTGTACCTACAACAGCTCGAAGACCATGTCTATGTGTAATGCACCTCACAAAGAAGCTCCTCAAGGCCGTGATCTCTTTGAACTTCAATCCTTTGTACACCCGCCAGGACCCGAGAACAGTCGGTAAGCACAGATACCTGAATTTGCTCTCTACTGTGAGGAATCAGAACGTCCCTCAAATACTTTCCCCGAAAGCTCTGCGCGATCCCATACTCGCCGCCTTTTGCACCTTCGACAACGCTCCAACACAACGATCATGGCCGACCCCACGCCGGTTAAAAGCGAACCGTACATCAAGCCAGACCCTGATGCCGTGGCATCCCCGTCTGCAACACCACTTGACGATGACGACCTCTATGAAGATGCCGGCGATCTAGAGTTCTATGATGCAAGCGGTGCTTCTGGCACGTTCAACCAGGCCTACCTAGCCAAAGTTCCTAAAGAGATATGGGACGCGTGGAGTAATCTTCCTGAGGACGCGGAGATCGAGGTTGGCACTATGAGACAATGGGACGTCATCCGACCAGATGGAGGAGTTGATGTTAGCTTGTGCTTCCATTTTCGTTCGTTGCCACTGCTGACCCTCCATAGCATCGCTTCAGGATGCTCCTGAATTCTGAATTGGCAGGGCACCAGCTCATGCCCAGGGAGTACGACTTGGAGATGGGACCAGAGCTCACACGGGGAACCTTTGTTTTCTCCGAGGAGGACCTCCCCGGCTTCAAAGCGAAGTCAAAAGCGAGAAACGACGCGGCGAACAACGGAATACCAGCACATCTGCTACGACCAAAAGTTGACAGGCCTGCACGGAAGCCCTTTGACAGAAAGGCTCGCTATCAGCCTTTCTATCGGAAGGCCATACCAAGTGAGTCTTACCTGTTTCGTTCCTTCTTTTGGGCAACGGACATATCTAATGTGTTAAAGAAAAAACAAAGATCAGGGCCCGTATCCAGTACGAAATGGGCTGCAAACCAGTAGATAACGAAGAGAGCAGGGCAATTCTGCAACTCAAACAGATGGAGGCACACAAGCCAAAGCATACACTGAAGATCGTGGATCATTATCAGATCAGCGGGGTGATTCAGCAGGGCTCAGCCGCTGCCCAGGCTAAATTCGGCTCTTTCGTTGTGAGTCATCTAGCATTCATGAATCGGGAGGCCCAGCTGACCAAAGCAGAAAACTACGAATCCGGTCAAGACGAGCAAACAGAAGAAGCCAGCCAACAAAGCAACTCGTATGGACGAGACAGAATTGCGAGAGGCTCTTCTCGATGCTTTTACCAACAGATTCCAGTACTGGAAAATGTCTGTTCTTAAGGCAACTTTCAACCAGCCAGAAGCGTATCTTCGTCAAGAACTAGAGAAAATCGCAGTCATGAATAGGTCAGGGCCTCATTCCAATGAGTGGGAAATCAAACCCGAGTTCAAACTCATTCAAAACCAAGCACTGGACCAAAGTGCGCCGGACGCAGTGGCAGACGACGATGACGATATGGACATGGAGGACGTGGTGCTTACGTGATAGGAGGTGATGATTCCTCTCAGTATGCTCTTGACTGCGGCACCAGGGGTAGTAAAGGGTATTTAATAGACAGGAATGAGGCCTTGGGAGGCATGACACGTCCTGTAATGAATTCGGATACTCGCGAGACCTTTCCAATCCAGTCATTTTATCTCGCAACTGCATGCTCGCCTTCTTATCACAAAGCGATCTTAGCATTGGTGAATGTGTCTTGTGTAGCTTTTTCGTACACAACCTAGCACTGTTTGTTTTCCTAAAGGGGCCCAACAACAAAACCCATGATAAATCGTGACGCGCCCTGCACCATGTCAGTAATCTGGGTTGCTTCGCCATTGGATTTTCAGGCAACATCTACTAAGTGTAGTGTAGGTTTTTTTTTGAAAGTTCTCAGGCATGTGGACGAGAGTAAAACTTATCGCATGGAAGGCTATAAGAGACCTCGGAGACTTCTACGTTTTGTCTAGATGGTCGTACATATGGTGAACATCTTAGTAGAAGTTACCATCGTTTATAGACCAACCAGTCCTGCTGGGGTCAATTCAGTACCTTATGTGCTTGTTGTCGTTGCTGGTACTTGAGGCTACACGCCACTCCCTCGATGAGGCCCAGGCACCGCCTCTGGCTGCAACACACTTGTCTACGTCGGCCTTCATGGAATCCAAGAGTTGCCTCGCTCGAAGTTTGGTGCTGTCAAGCATGGCGCACTTGAAACACTTCTGTGGAACCCTCAAGCGGCGGAAGGCATGATAGTCTTCCTGAGTGCACTCAGGTTCGCCACTGCCAGCGAGATACTCGCGTTGCTGTCTGCACGTGGCCACTTTGCGCCCTACATCGGAATGCAAGCACCCATACACTGTACCTTGGTAGTAGCACATTATTCCGGGATGAGGCAGCTAGCGAGGGCAGATGTTGAGTATTTGTGTTAAAGGATGGCTAATGTGGCTTGTATGTTTCGTTCATGGCTGTACGGGCATAATCGTTGCGTTCGGGGTAGGAGATTAAGAGAGCCTGGGTTCAATGGCTCATCAAAGACTTTAATGCTATGCTGGAAGCTAGGTCACTACACACAAAGGATTGACATAGCCACTGTTATTATTTGAGTTACTAGTAAATATCCAGGCACAGCCGCTCTAAATGGCGCAATCAACCGAGGTGCCTTTATCCGGTGGTCATGAAACAACGCACTGAAGGACTGCTGACAAGTTGGGCATCCATGTGTGCATCCAAAGAAGCTGATGTCACACAAGCTGAAAGAGTCCCGCTGACATGATCTCTCGATAGTCTGAAGCCCAAACCAAATTTGCGGACGTGTCAATGCATGTTATCGGTTGTACTGTGACACCTGTCCGTTTGAGAGTCTTGATCAAGCTTGAGTCGGGCCCGCCAGACATTATGATCCCTTTGACAGCGATCAAGCATTCGATATCCGATACGGAATCTCCGAAGTAGACGATGTTATCAATGTCCAAATTCTGCTCCGCGACTAGTGCCTTTAGAGCGTGTGCTTTATCCAAGCAAGTCGCCAGCACCGTCTCTTCGCTTGGCGGGCCCAGGATACCAGGTCCTACAATTATGCCATCGGAGCGTATCTCGTTTGATATGATTTTGTCGATAGGGAATCCAGAGAGGACACCACGAATGAAAGAGGAGGACCAGTTGATGGAGATGACATAAATGCGCCACTTCTGAAGGGCTGCACATGTCATAAATTCTGAAAATCCATCATGCAAACGCACTGTTCCATCCCTGAGTGCCTCATGCCCAGCCATGGAAAAGTCCGCTTTGTTCATGCCGCGAAAGATTTCTGAATCTCCAACTCGGCCAAAAGAAGCACTTTCAATATCTCGAAATCCTCGCAGAAAATTCAGTTCCTCACTCAGGCTGGTCCGATCAACAGCAGCGGGAACGTAGGTTGAGGTGTAGTCTTGGAAATCCCGACCATAAGCTTCTACAACAGAATCCCACGGCTGCTTCACGCTGTGGTGATGTCGTCGCTGGAAAATCTGTCCGATAGAAGCTAAGACGGAAATGGTATCCTGCTTCGTAATGGTGCCATCGAAGTCAAGGACCAGAGCGTTAATCTGGCTATTGTCGATAGGCATGGTGTTCAGGCGTCGCAGTAGTCGTTGCATGCCGTGTGTCTCGGGATTAACGTCAGAAACTAACCTCTCACCCTCGTAGACAACAATACCTGTGAAGACAAACTGGGTAAGCAGTTTGGGTTCAAGGGATGCCGAGCCAACATGCGCTAAAAACAAAACTGCGGCGACATTGACATCATGCAGGGGGGTTATCAGCGCACTACCATCCACCTTACATAAGGCGTCGGAATTGCTGAAAGGTACTTTCACAATGCACATGGACGTGGTTCGTGTCCTGTAACAAGACACGAGAAAGCATACGTCTAACTAGGTATCAGACTGGTGTCCAAATCGGGACTGATTTCTTTTCTCAAGAACAGTGAAGTTTCAGGCGCTTGGCTTGAGAAACAGAGTATCGGGCAAGTGCGTTGGGCCCAGTTCAGGGGATGCCAGACAAGAAGGGAGGCGGGGGCGGGCGACGATGGGAGGAATGGAATACTGGGGTTTATTACCCGCCAGTGGAGGTAATGGGAGGGGCCAAGTGGATGTTGGAGGGACCTGCATTGCGCTAACCCTCTTTCACAGACGCTGGCCCCTGGCTGCTGGCTCCGGCCTCCTCTTGGCACCCTCTCGACCCTCCACTTCTCAACCCTCCAATAGCCCCCCTCTCCTCCTCAAGACAACGACGTCCTGAAGCACTCCTGGACCTGGATTGCTGCAGGCCGGCTCTGGCTCACGAAATTCACTGCACGATTCATCAGTGCAAACACGAAGACCGAAACCAACGAATTGTCCAGTGAATCAGTCCAGGGACAGAGAACAACCGAACTCCTTGAGCACCGCCCAGTGACGCTCTACTCGACCAGCTCCCTCCTCGCGGACCTGGAACGGCCACGATACACCAGCAAACAACGCCGCTCTGCGAGTCAAGCAAGGCCAGCTTCAGGGTCTCCCAAGGAATGCCTGGTGCTGAGTGCTGATGCAGTCTAGCTTTGCCCGAGACCCAGGCATAGGACAAGCATAACACAAGCACACGAATAGATCCGAATTACTAACTCTGCCTCCTCATCATTTCCGAACTTGGGCCAGACTACAGGCAAACGCCAAATACACGATTCTCCGCTCCAGTGAACACTCAGGTGCAGCAAGTCACATCTTCACTCTCCCTACCGAAATACCCTTCACCACATCTGCAGACCCTCGAACGCTGGCCATACGTTCATGTCTTCCTACAGCCGTCGAGTCCGTCACCACCTCCGCAACAGTCGACATGGAGCCTGTGCCTGAGATGGAAAGCCTGGAGCAGTTCCGGTCATCTCCAGTTCCATCACTTCGGCTCCAGAGCCCTCCTACTCTCCATTCTCTTGATACTGAACCACTGAGGAAACCCCCTACGATCCGCCGCTCCACCGATCCCAACCCCTCATCGCCAAACTCTCCCACCTGGAGCGTATCGCCAGCGATGCCTTATCGTCCTCGAACAACATCACCGCTATCAGGATTTCATCAGAGGTCGAGGTCGGCCATATCTCTTGCCCCACAAATGTCCCGCGCCCAGTCCCTACCTGGCGTAAGCGGCTCAGGGCACATCCTCTATACTCCACAGCTGCGTCCTTCGAGCCCGTCCGGGTCTCCTAGTCGTGTTCGAGTCGCTCGTAAGCCTGTCGACGAAGCTTTCCCGACCTCTCCTGTTCGCTCTTCCGTCTTGGACCACGATCGGACTTTGCCAGAACGGAGCCTATCCCCCGTTCTCGGTAGTGTTCCATCATCCTCAGCGCCTTCGATGGCCAGTGCTGCCAGCCGATATCGGCGGCCCTCCTCGCCACTCCGTTACAATGGGCATTCGACCACTACCGCTGTGCCCATGCTTCCATCCACGCCGTCATCCTCCTCTTCCTCCCCCTTAGGTCGGGCCTACGAGATCTCGCATAATAGCTACAGCACGCTCACGCCATTTCCGTCTTCGTCCGTCCCTTCTACACCCACGTCCACTCGATCGAGGAGCCCCAGCATCTCGAGCCTAGAGACAATTCCCGACTCGCCAGACGCTGAGGAAGCCGCTATGGAAGCGGAGAGGATTGCACAGCTGAAAGCTGATGCTGAAGCTGCCGAAGAAGGCTCTGACACGGCCGATGGCAAGGGGCGGAGCAGTCTTGATGTTCCAACTCGTGGTAGGACGCTTGGTTTTGGATCTCGTGACAAGAGGAAGCGCTGGAGCGTTTGTGGTGCAGAGAGGAGAGGCGATCTCGATCTGGAAACGATTTGGGAGGATTAGCCGAGGTGCGACAACAGCCCAAGCAAGACTGTGACGGCTTAAATTATGTGCGAAGACAGCATGTTGTGGTCGGTGTCAGCTTGTTTGTGTGGTTCGGTCAAGATTCTCCTTTGCATTCGGCATTAGTATGGCGCGGTTCGTGCTCGCGGCGTTTTGGGGCTTTGCTTTTGATACCCTTTCCCTACATCGTCTCTTAAGGCATTACGGGGAACAACCTTGGATTTAGCATTCACAGTCAGTTATTTAGTGTGTGTTCTGCATTCCGTTCTGTTCCCGCACGACACCGACTGAATGATTCGTTAGCACGGTTCACGGGGCGGCTTATAGAGCAATTAAGCATGACGACACATCAAATTGGATCACACCAAATGGAATAGTATTCTCTCAAGTCCTCCTCCTCGTCTTCGCTGTGCTCGCCGCAAAAGTCACGACGTTGATCCACTGGTTGCCGGTCCGAGGTCTTAGTGCCTCGTGGTTGTTCCTAACCTGTCCCTTGCAGGGCGGCTCGGCACTCAGACTTCCCTCTCCCTTCTGACCCAATATTGCACCCTCATATGCCTTACCAGAGTCAACCATCTTGCTAGAATTGATTCCTAGGTACCTCAGAATCCCTTCACATAGCCCTAGTTATCTCAACATGTCGTCATTAATCCCTTCCGATCTCGCGGCTCACCGACAAACTTTCGATATAAGAACAACTATACCTGACTTCACAATGGCTTCTCCAACTCTGTACTCCAAGCACACAAGCACCCTTTCACTAGATCATCTCTTCGAACTCTCTTCTCTTGCTCCTTTAGCCCCTTGATACAACCCCCCTTAGACTGCTTGACTCAACGGCCTTCACACAACAGTTGCCCTTCATCATGCGTTTCGCAGTCCTGCTCGGCGCAACTACAGCCCTGCTGGCAGAGGCAGGAGGTGCCCTACAATCAGCAGAACACGACAAAGGCCAGCGTCTAGACTCCTTAGATCATAATGGCCACCAGGGACGTGTCGGCAGGTGGGCTGCCGCCCTGCATTCTCGACATCTGCAAGGGCAGGCTGATCACAACTATAATGGCACCAATTCGACAGCTTTGGTAACGGAACCCACGCATGTTGTGCCGCCGTCAGGGCCAGCCTACAATGTTCCTTCGGTTCTTGAAGAGGACCCCAATGTGACTGACTGCCCGGGTCATGTCCTCGTATCCACGACCACGCTTGAAGTCACTCAATATATTACCGAAGGTGGTTCAGAATACGCCAACACGAACACCCTGGGCTACGAGAATCATGCTTCGCAGACGAAAGTCGAGAACAAGACGCAGTATCCTTATCCAGAGCACACTGCACCTACAGTCCCTCCGTATCAGCCACACAACGTCTCAACGACAACCACCACGTCACTAAAATATGACTATGCCCCCTATCCCGGAAACACCACCACCACAACTTTCTCTTCGAACAATGCCACCTATGTGCCTACGGCCACAGAAAAGACAGGCTTTGAACATGCGAGTAGTTATCCTTATCCGGCGAATAACACCCGTCCATCCTCGATGTACCACCTTGCCAACGTCTCGACCGCCACCACTGACCGCCAGTATAAAACCGGTGGTATCTACACAGAGCCTACCACTCTGGTTTCGCCACCTTATCCCGCAGCCAATGTCTCAACGACACGTCAATCGACTCATGAGTATGGAACAGGTGCTCCCCATTCGTACCCCGAAACTACGGGACACCCCATCACCTTCTATCACCCAGCCAATGTCTCCACGACCCAGTCCTACAGCTCGAAGCCCTCCACGTCTCGCACTCCTGACGAGTATGCCTCCAACGAGTACGCCCCCCAGGAGTATGCTGCCAACGAGTATGCTGCCAACGAGTATGCTGCCAACGAGTATGCTGCCAACGAGTATGCTTGAACACGATCCCCGCCCGCCTATGTAAACGCTGAACGTGCATCCCTCCCCCTCCTCATCCGCACGTATCTACAGCAACTACTCGAGTATTGTTTCTACGACAGATTCCTCTGGGGTTGTGACGACGAGCGAATCCACGATGACGAGAATGTCTTCTAGCACCGTCTTAACATCCGAAACCGAAGCCACGACAAGCCCATACAAGACACTTCCGGCCTATGGAGCGGGCTACAATGTGGCTGGCTACGAGGATACGTACGACGACGCCACGACAACCGAATCCCAGAGGTTCCCCGAATCTTCCAAAGTCACCAGCGAACCAGAGACACTGAAACCAAGCTCCGCCTACAACCTCCCATATGGCCAGTCTACCGAAGTTGTGACCCTCAGCGAATCGACTGTGCGCCTTGAGTCGTCTGGCCACGGCCACCTCAGCGAGACGCAGTCAACAGTCAACCCCTCGGATCAAGCTTATGCTAGCCAGTCCTCCGCATCAATGTCTTCCGAGTCCCACGTGGCGTCTGGATCTTTCTACGCAGCCCTACAGCGCCACCAATTATTTCTCGACCTATGCTGTAACGGAGCCGTTGCCTTCCAGCACGAGCGGCTGTGTCATCGACACATCAATTGCCCCTATCAGCGTGGCGAGCTTGACTTCGCAACCAGCAGTTGTTGAGACCCCTACCAAGACTGTTTCCGAAGGGAGTGTCCCCACCGGCAAGCCGGAGACTGGTAGCCCTGCATTGCGGTGTTCACGGCAAGCCCGTCGGCAACTACTTCCTCGCTCGCTTTGTTGAGAACTCACCGGGCGTGCCGGTCACGCTCGAGGGCTGCTACCAGTTTTGCGATGTAAGTCTTCACCGTAACTTTGATCAATGTCATGATCGATGCTAATCACCTTTGATAGAGCGTTATGGATGCCACCGACGGTTGCGAGTCTTACCGCTTCTATCCGGAGCGTGATCTCAACGTTGCCCGATGCGACCTGTACGGTAGCAGCGTTGCCTACGCTCTCGATTCCGTCGACGACTACTACCCCGACATCTGGTTCGACATTGAGTGCGGCTCCCCCAGGTCCAGCCGGTGGGCTCATCTCCCTGGTATTGAGAGGCTTGAGTCGCTCGGCCTTGAGTAGGGGCGTTTCTGGACAAGATGAGTTTGGCGCACCTGTTTTCGTACTTATGTTTCTTTGTGCACATGGTCTGGATACATACGAGGACTATCCGATATTATAATGTAATGGGTGGCTAGAGAATGGCCAACCGAGGGGAATCGCGAGAGGGAGAGAGCACGCGGATCAACTGACCAAGTTCATCATATACACAACCATAGTTTCTTTATTTAGTGGGCTTTCGAGCTTCAGCATCACAATGAGCGTGTGCCTACTTTGTCTGATGTAGGGTAAGATGTTGCAACTGCTAATCTGCTGGGCTAATCGAACGGTATCCTGCGCAGCGTGTCTCCCAAGTCCCTTTTCTTCATCTCCTCGGCGGCGGCAACGCTGCTGGGAACTTTGATGCCGCAACAGTCACCCCAGCCGATGTGCTGATGCTTGTGCTTGGGTTTCCCGTCGAGTGCCAGCTCGCCGCCTTCGGACTCATCTTCTTCGTGCCCGATGCCGAGGGCCTCCTCGGTGCTCATACCCTCCTCGGCTGGGACGAGCGAACCAAAGAGGAAGTGCTGCATCACGGGCAGCTTACGGAGCACCTCGGCGACAAACATGCGGCGCATGCCGCCCTCGATTTTCGTCCAGGACTTGGCGGCGGATATGTCGTCAAGCATGGGGCTGTGCCACCGCAATCCCTTGACCGTCTTTGTCGTGTTGACAAAGTTAACCCTGTCCGAGGTAGAGATAGTCTGAGGCGAACTCCCTCAAATGGTGAGCTGCTGGTGAATGGCGAGGGGAGTAATGAAGGGATGGTGCAGCAGTTGCGATGCGCCGAAGAGGAAAGGGAGGAACTGGTAGTCGTCAAGACCCCATACGCCATGGGAGCCTGCTGGCTCAAGGTAATAGGTCAACTGGACTCGCCGCATGACCTCCAGATATCTGCCAAAGACGATGAGTACAAGCGTCCTGAAGTCGGCGCGACTGAGGATGCGGAGCTGGTATAGGCATAGCAACCAGACTATGAAGTTCAGCTCGTGGCCAGAACCGTAATCTATACGCATCCTGTTGCCGAATGATTGTAACAGGTAAGTAGAAGCCTCCTCTCCGGCGCCGGATAAGTCGATACCGAGCTTAGTGTGCCATTCAGGCGCCTGCGCCTTGATGAGGTCGAGGAAGTCTCGGAACGCTTTGTTGCCAAATCGTGACCCGCCCTGTTCTGTGGGTGGCGACTGGTTCAAAAGGGTTTCAACACGGTCGAGAATATTCAGGATAACTTTGACAGGGGGGTTGGCATCCTCCAAGTTGACGGCGGAGGAAGGGGTGTCCACAACCGCTTCCGACAAGCCAAAGACGAAGGCAAGTATGAGCTCGTATGTCGGCGAGGCGAGGAAGATTTCATGGTCCTTTGGTGATAGGATTCTGCGAGACGGAGTCTCAAACGACAAGTTTGATAGATCAGGCGGCGACGGAAGTGCGGGCGTCTCTGGGCGAGGGAGGGGGTTTGAGGGAGCAGCACTCCGGCGACGGGGTTCGAGCTTGGGGATTGGAGTTCTCATCTGCTTATTCGCCATATCTACGGCGGGGGCTGGCTGTGAGGTAAAGTCGTCGGATGAGGCCATGGCCACGAAATGGGTTGCGCCGCGACTACGTATTCAGGGTTTTCAGATGACTGCAAAGTGGTTGAAGAGGTTGAGCAGAGGTTCCAAAGCACGATCCTCAAGATTCCCACTCCACAGCATTCTTCTGGAGTTTGCTTGCCAGTGCTTCCAGTTCAGTTGGAAGCTGCGGCTGCATTTTGTGGAGACCCTCCGACTGGACCGGTTGGTGCCTGAAGAGGGCAGGTCAGGTCACTTGCGACTAGGGAGAAACAGCTTACATTAGGTACCATGCCTACCAACTAGTACCATACTGTACTCGTTAAGCTAGCTAGGCGGCGCTGAATGAGGACCTAACGAACCTGGCGCAAAAAACGCAACCATTGAAGCTCCCACCTGCGGGACGGCAATGCAGGTCTCGGATCCGGTCTTTGTAAACCATTTGCATGACCGTGCAACCTTGCGTCGCCCTCATTGAAACACGAATTTCATCATACTTCTAGCGACACAGCAATTCAGTTCCAGCGGACGAGACGTAGGGAATATCTGTTTTCCACCTCGCAGAACATAGCTTCGCCTTTTTCGCTTTGAGCAATCATCATGGGGGCCCAGCCAGCGGAAGGCCGACTGTCACATCTCCACCGGACAGATGGCTCAGCAACATTTGCACACAATGATCATTGCATCATGGCCTCGGTCAACGGGCCCATAGAGGCTCAGAGGCGGGATGAAGACCCGTTCGAAGCGGTCATTGATGTGACGGTGCGACCAGCGGCGGGTGTTGGAGGTGAGAAGACTTTTCTCCCCCATCCACTGTTTTCGAAACGCGCACTGACTGACGTACCTCTCAGGTACACGAGAGCGTCAGCTCGAAAGCCTGTTGCAAGCGTCCCTGCAACAGCTAATCTGCACCAAGAGGTTCCCACGCAGCGTATTTCAGATAACCCTTCAGGTAACCCAGACGCCTACGGACGACTATGTCACCAGCAAGCTCAATCAAGCCCAGCAAAACCTTGTTGCTCTTCCGGCGCTGCTCCACGCCGCGCTGCTCGCCTTGATATCTGGTGCCGTACCTCTCGAGGGCGTGGCGACAGCCGTCGTCGTAGCGATCTTGCAGGCGACTGGTGAGCCAAAGATTGTCGGCGAGCCTTCTCGGCGCGAAGCATCTGAAGCCAGGTCATTACACGTCTTTGGATTCACCGCCAAGGGAGATCTGCTACTAGCGGAGAGCGAAGGCAACTTCACAGTGGGCGAGTGGGACGCAGCCGCCGCGCTTGGCCTGAAGCGATGCTGCGGACAACTGCAGGGCACGACGGAGGACAACGACGAAGGCGAGGAAGATGCGCAGGATATGGTGCGAAACCTTCGGTCGATAACAGAAACCAAGGCTGCATCAGATGGACGTTGGAGGTGAGCCTGACTGTGTAGATGGGCGTGCAGGAGGAAGAGACACCTGTTCGGACGCAACGAAGAGCGCGCGAGGATCACGGCTACGGGGAAGAATGCCAGGTCCAGACACGTTGTCGGCACTGGTTCGCGGCTGCAAGTGATTGGGGTCAAAGTGGCTACAAATGTCCCGGTTGAAGATCGTCTCGCCCTTAACCTAAATCCATCGTTGTAATGAGAGGCCTGGGAAACATGCTACTCGGCATGTCTGGACGACGTGGGGAGTGGCGCGAGGAGCTCAGCAGTCTGTTGTTTCGTGCCAGGTAGCAATGCAAAAAGTCACAGCAGAGAAATGAAATATGAGAGATTTGGAGCACGCCCCTGGCATTGAGACGGCTTGCAATGCGATAGCTGGGTGCCCTGACGGTCCATCCGCCCATCCTTGCAAGTCGGACGTTGTCATTTGAATGGCTTTCTGGTGCGCGGCAACAAGGGCAGGCGCCATGTCTGGGAGAGACGGTGGATGACAATCAGAGGCAGATGGAAGCCGCATGCGGTGGCTCAAGGGGAATACAAGCACCAAAGGCAGGCAGATACCTAGTTTAGCAAGGCAAGTTTGAATGCTCCTGTCGTCGCGCGGGTCGATGCCGCGTTTCATCTCGACTTCAGAACCCCTTGGCTGGGTCTGTGTGTGCCTGGCTGCAACACGAATCCCTTCCGTTGTTGACGCCGTTCCCTCCAGGACCCGCAGCCAAGGAACTTGACTGGAGCGGGCATACATGGACGCGTGCTGCGACGCCTCGGAGTGGTGGGCCAGATGCGACGAAGAGCAGGGCAGGCTGGCAATGACAGCTCCTGTTGCAAAGGTGAACGCCGAAAGCCCGTCGCACAGTAAGGCGGCAAGTAGTGGGATGCAATCGCCCAGCCAGACTGGAGCAATAGGATGCAACTTGTCAACAGGGATTCGGTAGCTCTGACAGCTTCACCTCATGTTTGGCCCCCTCCCGCCCCTCGCCAGTGTTCCCCGGTACTCCCTTCCCTTGCCTTCCCTCGCCCTTGTCCCTTCTAGATCCCACCGCAGGGTCTGCGCGTCTCTTGGGATGGGAAGGAGGACCGGGGGGAGGACCACAGGGGAGGGGGACAGCAAAGCCATCGAACGAATGGACGGAGGCAGGCGGCACCTGACACTGGCACTGACACTGGACCCGATCGCGCGGGAGCTGCACGCTTTGTGGGCAGAGAACAGAAACGCTGTAGAAAGTGCAGTTGGGTTTAAAACATACCTGATGCCCACGCACCGCTTAAACTATCCAGGCTGCCTAGTTGCACTCACTCATCTTTGCACCGAGTCCGAGGCATCTTCTTTTTCCCTTCATTTACAGTTTGAGAACTCTGGTAGTTCTGGCCTTTTCGTTTTTCCGCTTCCTACACCTACCCATCTTTCATTTCATCATCTGCTTGCAGGTCAGAAGACTTTTGCCGTGTCTCACCAAACCCTCGAGCGTTTTGTCTTTCTTTCACTTCTGCCTATCATCAACAACTATCCAGGTTGCTTTCACTTAGCTTGCTTGTAGTCAACAGTATCCCGCATCCCCGGGCCTTTTATTCCCTGTTACATCATTCATTCCCTCTTGATTAGTAGTGGAACGGAACCTTCGACGGCGTCGACCTACCCGACCCTCCCGGACGGACTTAACGCAACACCCACCTCGGCTCGACACGACCTCCTAAAATAACCCCAGCGGTCAGTACCACCACGCCTGCCACCATTTTCGGTCCGTCGGAGAAACCGCTGTCATGTCCGGCCTCGTCACTTCACCCACCGCCCTCCACCCCGCCCTCAGCGATAATACTAAACCCCACTCTCCGCTACGCCAGTCCCTGCTGTCCGACTCGGAGACACAGGTGCACGACCAAGAGGATACGCCGCATGCCGCCCAGCTTGCCCGTGTTCACGAAACAACTCACTCACCCCAGGGCCACCGCCGCAACGCCCCTTCTCACGAGGTCCCGCGCCAGACCATCATGAAAGCTCTGGCCTCATCTGTCTCCCGTCACAACAAACCCGAGGCCCTTTCACTCACCGGCATGCTCTCCGCTCATGACACTCACGATAGCCGCCCCGATAAGAACTGCTCCTCGCAACAGCTTGCTGACGCCCTCAACGACCTTGCCAATCAAGCCATGACGCCCACCACCGCCCTGCCGACATTGCAGTCACCATGCTTCTACCACAACCGCTTCAACGATGCCGTCGATATCGACAAGGTGCTTGAGGAGATCAAGAATGATGACTCCATGTCGCACTCTCGACTGGTTCAGACAGCCACTGGTGTCCGTGAAGTTGCCAAGCAGCTTCAGCGCCGTCCAATCAAGCGCCACGTCCGTAATGTCATGATTGTCACCAAAGCCCGCGACAACCAGCTAGTCTACCTGACCCGCGAACTCGCTTTATGGCTCCTGCGTACCCCGCGTTACGGTTCGGATATTGGTGTGAACGTCTACGTTGATGCCAAACTGCGTAATTCGAAACGATTCGACTCCCGCAGTATCACTGGCGAGAATGCCCGGTTCCAGCACATGTTGAAGTACTGGACCCCGGACCTCTGCTGGACGCAACCAGAGAAGTTTGACCTCGTCCTCACCCTCGGCGGCGACGGCACCGTACTTTTCACGTCGTGGCTGTTCCAGCGCATTGTCCCCCCCGTTCTCTCCTTCAGCCTAGGCAGCCTAGGCTTCCTGACGAACTTCGAGTTCGAGAAGTATACGCAGCACCTGGGTCGCATCATGGGAGATGAGGGCATGCGTGTTAACTTGCGTATGCGTTTCACATGTACTGTGTATCGCAGCGGCGTCAATGGGCAGGGTCCTCAGGAGGGCGAGCAATTCGAGGTCCTCAACGAGCTTGTGATCGACCGCGGCCCATCACCCTACGTCTCCAACCTCGAGCTCTATGGCGATGACGAACTCCTCACTGTCGTGCAGGCTGATGGCTGCATCTTTTCGACGCCGACTGGTTCCACTGCCTATTCCCTCTCCGCAGGCGGCTCTCTCGTGCATCCCGATATCCCCGCTATCCTGCTCACCCCCATCTGCCCTCACACCCTGTCTTTCCGCCCAATGGTTCTTTCCGACACCATGGCCCTACGGGTCTCTGTGCCCCGAAACTCCCGCGCCACAGCTTACTGTGCCTTCGACGGCAAGGGCCGTGTAGAGCTGAAGCAAGGTGACTATGTCACAATCACGGCCTCGCAGTACCCCCTGCCCACGGTCGTCCGCAGTCAGACCGAGTGGTTCGACAGCGTATCCCGCACGCTACGCTGGAACACCCGAGCCGCTACGCAAAAGGGCTTCGATTCGGGCGACGCTACGGGAACAGGCACGCCGAATGAAGAGATCAAGGATGAAGCCGAGCCCGAATGGGACATTGATACGGACTCGGCCTGTTATGCCAGCGAGGATGGCAGCATCAGCACAAGCCCGCTGAGACGACAGATGAGCCTGCTAGGCATGTGATATATACCCATTTGCGGCCAAATGGTGGCCCCTTTTTCTTTTCGAACAATTGAGTACACTGTCAGAAAGAGTTGCTCAGGCAGGGCATTACGTTAAAGGCATAGACAGAGTCCCTTAATAGTTGCCAAGCAAACAGTGGCAAGTCGTCACCGCTAAGGCTCAGCCGAGATCTGTACTTGACATAGATAAAGCGGACATGAGAGGACGGGGATAGTTCCAATAATAGAAGCTCACTGTGGGAAGAATGTTCACCGAGGAAGCTGTGATGTCCCACCTTCGATGGCATCTGTTACAACGCTTTACTGCTCCTTCAGACGCCGGACTCCGATCGGATATCTGAGTTCTTAAGAGGCTGACGGAGACAGGTCCTATACCAGACCACGTCTGGGCATACACTTCCCCCTCGTCTCTAACTTCACGCGGCTGAAGCTCTGTTCCGGGAATAGTTGCTGCAGCCTACAAGTTCAGCGTCGGTACAGGATGACATAGATGACTAGATAGATGGATACCCAGGACATGACAAAAGCCTGTCGCCACACTTATACTCATAATGTACCAAACTGGCTTTTCGCCATGACCACCTTCGGCGATTGCGCCCTCATTCGCTCGTCGTAGCATGAATACAAAATCATGAAAGCCGGTACTTGGACAAGATATCATCTCCAGTTTCCCTGGCTCAGGGACAACAGTCCGGCAATACAGTCCATATCACCCTTCTTGCCAGGGCTAACCTCCCCGCGCATAAATGTCTCCACCTCCCGGTCTGGCCGGAGCATGGGCAGACCTTCGTGGTCCTCGAACACCTCCAGGTCTTTACTCGATTCTTTTCGTCTGCGAAATAGAGGTGCCGTATTGGCTCGGTTGTTTCCGAGCATCCTCGGTGATGTCTGCTCTCGAAGACCTCGTACTTGGCGTCGTGAGTGAGCAAGGTGAGGCGCTTCAAGAGGCAGTGCTTTACGTGTCTGGCAAGGTGACAAGGGAGTCGGGGTAGAGAGCTCCCTCGGAATTGTGGGCGGTACACCATCACCGTCGGGGCTCCAATTCTCTTTGTCTGAATCATTACCACTCGCAGAAGAGATGAACAAAGACATTTTGGGACCTTTGCTTTCCACCCCCGATTTCTGGCCATGATCGTCGTGTGCAGAGATGCTGCTGGCTACAGCGCTGCCCGAAAATGCCCGACTCAATCGAGGCTTCTTGTTTGAAATTCCTGAGTGATTCCTTAGAGGCGGGGCGTTACGTTTCGCGCTGTTGGGCTGAAGCATCCCGCTGGTAGAGCGAAGGAGGTTTATGGCAGCAACGGCGGACCCGCTCGACTCATTTTCAGCTTGTGTCGTCAGTTCATCGCGCTGATCCGAGTCACAGCAAAGCTCCCAGACTTGAGCATCTCTGGATCGCCCGCGGCCGAGATTCACGGATATACTCTGCGTCAGGGCGGAGATAGGAGGCAGAGTAACTTGTGCGGCTGCACTTTGGCTTCGGTGCAGTGAACGCGGCCTCCCTTGCAAAAGACGGGGAAGAGACGTCGGAAGTGAAGATAGGGGAGACGATTGAGGCAGGGACTCGTCATTAGCGACCAACTCAGCTTTGCCCTCGAGGGACAACGAGATGCGCACGTGCGACTGCGACTGGGGTGTTGGCAGAGCAGGCGTTTTGGATATTGTTGACGGAGGTGAGGAAAATCTAAACGGAGCTTGTCTGAGACGGAGGTGTTGATCAGCATGGCGATGGAGTTGAACGTCTTAACAAATGCTCAAATAATTATACATACCTCGGCGTCTCCGCGACCTGGTAAGAGCACGACTTTGAGGGGAAGGAATTGGATAAGTTCCAACGGTTCGCCAAATATCCCATGGTTGCTGGTAAAGGTGTGGAAATCGTGTTCAAGTCCTGTGAGTCCCGCTGCGCCTCTGCATCGGTGTATGGACTTGACGATCGGGCAGCAATGCCATCCCCTCGGGACACAGAATCGGTCGAAGATTCCTTCACCTTGTCCACAAAATTTTGAATGTATGATCGGTTCTGGCTCGAAGTTGGGCCCAAGTCAACTGGGCGGCTAGGTGTTGAAAAAGAATCGTTGCCCTGCGCAGTCTCTGCTTCCACCAAGGAACTCGACGTCACAGGATCAGACGATAGAACCTGCATGCCACCATAACGCAAGGCAGCGATTTCCTGGGGCGAAAGTGGGCGCGATTTCCGGCGGTCATTTTGACGTCGATTCTGAAACCAAATTTGAACCTCTTTCTCGGTTAGAGATACACGTTGCACAATGTCGTGGCGCGCCGTCTTATCAGGCTTTGGGTTGGTCTGGTAAGCCTCTTCAAGGATGGTTTTGTCTTTTGCACTATGATTCAATCGAAGTCAGTCGCACTGGACGGATAGCAAGGGAGGTATCCCATAGTATAGAGCACCATGGTTTCACATACGCGGTCCTCTTCCTCTTGCCCTTGGGGTGCTTCTCATCTGTGGCGCTGATCGCCGCGTCGAGTGGGGCTTCGACTTGAACCTGGGCCCGAGGTGTTGCTGGTGGGATCTCGCTCTGGGAGTTATCGGGAGAGACTCGGTCGGAAGCTGAAGGGGGGGAGGATGGTGATTGTTCCATCGGCGTCATGATGTCGATGTTGGCTGACCGGGGCGGGAACGCACCAGCGCGCGTCGCGTCGTATGGCGGCGGCATGAAAAGACACTTTAAGTGTTGCCCGCGTCGTCGGCCGCGAGTGTCTCGTGACGAAGCTATCGAGGAGAGGCTATCGGTAGGACAGATTTCTGGACCGGTAATATTGAGTATTTGGGACGAAAAGTGAGCAGAGGAGGGCATCTAAGTTGTCTGGCACATTCGGAGAGGCGATGACAAGGTCGGACAGGATGAACAAGAGCATCTTGTACCTCGAGAGGTGCCATGTGCGGGTCGTGCGCCCCGCGTCAATCCCGTCTGCAGCGTGTCCCCCTGCAACTGCATCACGCTCCCGCGTTTGGAGTCCTAGCCAATCGTGTGACGCGCAGTCCACCGCATGAGGAAATTGTGTCAATACTTCACCTTGGGTCTCCACGGCTACGACGGACCCACCGTCACGCTTTTGCTCTTCAGTAAGGATTACCAACCCCCTCCTACAATCGTCGCGTTTCGACTCTTTGTCAGGAGATTCCTTGACCGCAGACTGTCATCGCCATCATTCAACAGCGCTGTGCGTGGCTAGTCAACTCAGTTCTTCACTATTTGATTGGCGCTGATTCGTCTTCACTCTTGCCCACTCCTATGTTATTATGCACCAATGCACCCACCCTTTGCCAGTAGGGTGGAAAGACAGTGGATGAGCATAAAGCTCTGGTGAATTCGCTAAACCTATCTAGCTAGAGCTAGCACGAGTCCACTGGTACTCGCGCACGCGTGTCATCATCACGGTTCGTTTCTAAAGGGTCCGCCCGTCCACCGAACAGGTTTCCTCCGTTCACTCCTCTGGCATGCGGCAGCCTACTGCCCAGCTACCGAGTGCCGTCATTGAATCTTGTTCAGATTCTCGGCCGATGCAGACTTCCTCGCTCCACATGTTCGTGACGAGCCGAGTGTCGCACCCAAACACATGTTCGTTCCTTACAAATCGTCGTCAGATTGCTCGCCAGGGAGGGGCATGGCCGCAGCCTCGTCCATCTCCTTCTTGTACTCGGCTAGGAGCTTCTCATCGACCTGGGCCGTAGGAGGGGCAAGCGCAGGGGCAGCCACAAAGTCCTAGTGAGGTCAGTCAACATGATTCATGCCACACAGCACCTGGGCGCGGCCGAGTGTTAGGAATTTCACGTACGAGGGCAGGGTTGCCGACGAGCTTGCGGGCGAGCCAGAGGAAGGGCTTTTCAAAGTTGTAGTTGGACTTGGCCGAGATGTCGTAGTACTGGAGGTTCTTCTTGCGGTGGAAAGTAATGGTCTTGGCCTTGACCTTGCGCTCCTTGACATCAACCTTGTTACCGCAGAGAACAATGGGAATGTTCTCGCAGACACGGACAAGGTCGCCTGCAGAGAATTCAATGTCAGCCGTTGTCGAGGAAGAGGAGCATAGACAGCAACTCACGGTGCCAGTTGGGCACGTTCTTGTAGGTGATGCGAGAGGTGACGTCGAACATGATGATGCCGCACTGGCCGTTGATGTAATAGCCGTCACGAAGTCCGCCGAACTTCTCCTGGCCAGCGGTATCCCAGACATCGAACTGGATGTTGCCGAAGTTCTACATCTAAGATCAGTCACCCGCATGGGGTAGGAGGGATGGAGGGGCTCGTACGGTCGAGAAGCCAAGAGGGTGGACTTCGACACCGAGGGTGGCCATGTACTTCTTCTCGAACTCGCCAGTCAAGTGACGCTTGACAAAGGTAGTCTGTAAAAGAAGTCATGTCAATATAGGTCCAGATTCAAAACAGAAGAGGCACGACGGTGCCAGTGATGTTCGCCACTGAACAACCGAGGCGGGGTAAAGGGGTTTGAGGGCCCGATAACATACCTTTCCGGTGCCACCGTCGCCAACAAGGACGAGCTTGAAGGTCGGGGTCTGCGATTGCTCGGCAGCCATGGTTGCGAATGCGCGGTCAAGCGATGCGATTGTTGAGGTAGTAAACGGTAAACAAGCGGGGCTAGAGCAAAACAGGTGGTTAGATTGCGCCAGGAGAAAGGCAGACCTCCAGAGCCAGCTGAAGGCATGCGAGGTGGAGATCGAGCTACAGGGGCAGTGAGAACGTACCAGAAAGCGACCGCTGAAATCGTGGATGGGTAAGAGTTGTGATGTCGGTCGTCGAAGGGTGTCGCCGCTGAGCTTTTTGTGAAGGTGTCTTGGGGTTGGGGCGGAATGGCGGGGGAGCAAGATCAGGTACCTTCGCGAGAGCAGGGAAGCCTAAGCGAAAAATTCAGTCATCGGGCTGGACCAACGAGCGGCCGTTGGGTCATATCGTTGATGTGCTGCTTATGTAATGGGCTCTTTCGGGGATGTCCAGCCTGCCCATCGCAGAGCACAGAGAACTTGCTTCCCGGCTGGTTGGCTCAATGCTTTAGGTACATTACTGCCTAGTCGACTGCCTAAGGACCACCCACTGTCGGCCACATGTCTGGCTGCCTCACAATGCAACGAGTCTCCCAGATAAGCAGCGACAGCGTGCCACTTTAACCCAATACACATGAGCCTATATGAGTGGCAGGATCATACAGTCCGCAACGTGTATATGCTGGTATCTGGTGGGTTGCTGGTGGGTGTCAGGAAATGTCCTTCTTGCCCACGAAACATACATGCCCACGTATCACGGGTATCGGTGATCAAAGCCCTGTTCCTACATACTTGAGTCGTGCAGAATAACTTCTTTGGTCGCTCGCATGGCTATGACTGAAGTTTGGCCTGGCTCAAAGAGGCAGGATATGACAGCCAAGAAGCCCCCTGCCACCCCAATCTCGGTTTGGGACGAGATTAAGTGTGCGGACCTCTTGTATGTCGCCCTGTCTGCTACGTATGATCTGAACTGCCACATTTCTCTGAGGCCAGCACGTCAGTCATAAGCTCTCGACCATTGAATGGCGAATGTTTCCGGGGGAGGGGGGCTTGCCTGCTCATTTGCCTGCACACACTCGCCAACCTTCTTTAGGCTGTCGTGGTTACTACGATTCACATGCCCAAAATTCACTATCTCATCTCCTATTTTGAGTCCTGCCTGTTCAGCCGGACTGCCTCCAGTCACAGAATTGACACGCGCAAACGGACGGTCAGTCGTGTGCTCTGTCACTCTCGGGGCAGTTGTCGGAACATCCTGTGCAGCGTCGTCCTCTGAGCCTGGGCGTGCGAAGTACTCGTCTAGATGGCGCGTCACAACTGCCATGAGATCTTTATAGTCGTTGCGGAGGTGGATGATGCGGGCGCGAGTTGTGCGCACTATACAGTGAAAGCTGAATATTGTGATCACGACTGAATATGGGATCACGTACCTTGGGCAACATCAATATCTGCCCTTGGAAATCCATCTCTGGTGGTCAACGGAGTGGTCATGTTCGACCCGTGCTGTTGGCCAAGTCAGTGCTCCAGCTAATGCACCACATGATTTGGTGTTGCAGGGACGAACTGAATCAAGAATGGCACTTAAAGCTTGCATTTCCGTCTCCATCTGAATTTTCTGCGCTTGCAATTCGAGATACGTCAACTTGGTGTAATCCTCCTTGGACGTAAGGAAGCTGGCGGGGCCTGAGGGGACGGTCGGTGCGTGCAGATCATCCATCCTGAGAGGTAATCCCATTACCCTAGGTATGCTGATACCTCTCTCGTAGCTATGCTATGAATGATACACCGAGTCAGAAAGGTAGAACCAGCGACTTCGTCGGGGCGTTGGGGATAGTCGTGGAACGGACTACGGCAAGCAGCTCGAGGCAGGTGATGTTGGTAGGGATCTTATGTACTTGTAGTCTTCAAGGGAATGCACTTACAGCCCCAATCACCCCACATGCCTATCTACATAAGTACGATTACCTAAGGTACCGTACTGTACCGTACAGGGAAAGCAAGGTAAGTAGATACCTCGCCCCAGGTACCTGTGTAGCTCGGCGCCACCCCACGTCCGTGCATGAATTCCTTTTAGTCCCAGTCGCGTTCACGTATTCGACGTCAGAGGCCAATCTATCTAGAAACGTACGAACTGCACCCAAACGCCTGCCTGTACGAATCCTTTCCACGAGCACCAGTGGTAGCCCAACCATCGTGGAAATGGCGACAGGAGTAGACGCAAGGCTCTTGAAGTCTACGAAGTTTCCGCCAGAATTCAATCAGAAGGTGGACATGCAAAAGGTCAACTTGCAGGTCATTAAGAAGTATGGAAACCAGACATCAAATCTTTACGGCTACAACGTGTTGCCTTCCCGGTCGCTGCTGCTGATCACATACTCAATAGGTGGATAGCCAGCAAAATCTCCGAGATCCTTGGAGGCGAAGACGATGTTGTGATTGAGCTCTGCTTTGGGTTGATAGAGGGTTCCCGATTCGTGAGTATCCCTTCAACAGCACTATATTTTTCGCCCTACTAAGCTTAGACATAGCCGGACATCAAAGGTCTCCAAATCCAATTGACGGGATTCCTCGAAAAGGAAACTGCGCCTTTCTGCAAAGAGCTCTGGAAGCTCTTCCTTAGTGCTCAGGCCAGTCCCCAGGGTGTGCCCAAGGAGCTGCTCGAAGCCAAAAAGCTTGAACTCATCCAGGAGAAGGTTTGCCCGACGGCTCAACGATATGTGCGACCCTGGCTGATAACCTTGACCGCAGATCGAAGCAGACAGAGTTGCCGAAGAGTCCCGTCGCCGTCGCGAAGATGCAGATCGGCGACAATCCCAAGGAGGTGACCCAAGAGAACGGCGCGACTGGGGACGAGGGCGAGGAGGTGATACGTGGCGTGGCCGACGTGGCGATCGTGCTTTCGACGACCGCGGACGAGCGAACTATGACCGTGGAGTAAACAGATCCCGATCACCGGGGTGGAACCGCGAGCATCGAGGTCATCGAGCTGAAAACCGAGGATATCAGAGAGACAGTTATGTCCCAAATAGCCATCGTGGCACTGGCCTCCGAGGCGGCGCTGCAGGTCGTCGTCGCAGAAGTACGCGATCACCGTCTGCTGAAGGTTCATCGCCCCGAGAACGTCGCACTCCAAGTCAAGATGGCCCAAGACACCGAGGTCAACGTTCTCCTAGTCCCGGTCCCCGGCAAAGACCTGGTTCTCCGTCCAGACAGGCCAAGCCTCGAAAACGTTCAAGGTCTTCTACAAGACAAAGCAAGCCAATCTTTGCTCGCGATGAGGAAGATTGTCGGTCACGGTCTGCTTCTAGAAGCCGGTCGCGGGCGCCTCCTGCCAAGAGACGCAGGCGTTCTTTGACTCGCAGTGAGTCGCCTGAGGAGCGAGGCCGTCGGTCCCGCCGTTCGTACACACCCTCATCGCCTGCAGCATCCCGGTCTCGCAGCCGCAGCCGCAATCCCAGACGCCCTTCAAGTCAAAGCCGTGACGGTCGTGCCCGATCCAGAAGTTGTTCTCATCATCGCCGAGATCTCTCTCCCAACAACGGCAAGGGGCGACCAAGACACCGTCGTGATCGATCACGCTCTCTATCCTCTTCCCGCTCAAGAAGCCATTCGAGACAACGACGTCACATACGCCGCTCTTCGTCCAGCTCTTCGTCGTCTAGACTTCGACTGCAACAGCCAGGCGCAATCAGAACCCGACCACGTCTAGAAACCGCGGCTCAGTCAGGGGACCAGTAGCATGCCTATGTAGGTAGCGGCTGTTTGGATTTCAGTTCATGCATGGCCCGATGTCCGGAATGCCTGTCCGCCTCGGCTTTGGTGGCGTTCGGGCATATGATCAACCTCAGCGGAAGTGTCGGCATCGTATGTGGTTGCTATTGGCTTTGATCATGTCCACGAGCTTAGGCTCAAGCTGAATGCCGACGACTGCTTTACTGTCGCGGTCAAAGACAGGTCCTTCTTACCAGGTTTCTGAGATTGCGATTCGAAAGATGAATGCCACGGACTTGAATCCGTCTGTCATTTATCTAGGTGCAATGGGAAAGCAAAACGCATCCAGTATGCTTACAAAGTGACCCTTCCTATCGGATGCTTCGTCACAGTAATGTAGCATTTTTGCATGTTATGACCATGAGCAAAAATTGTTTGGCTAGTTGGCTAAGACGGCGCAACCAGCGTTTGGAATAGCAAGTACTTGACTAAAAGGGCCGGCGTTTGCGTTGTAAATCCACTCACGCGCGCCCTTGGGCTTCGTTATCTTTGAGCATATGCATCTCCAGCGACACGAGCCGAGTGACTCTGTACCCTCCATGAGGGACTGTAAAAGGTTCGAAATTAAGTCCATGTCCTTTGATCAACCGCTGTTATACACGCCTCGAACCCTTGCCATTCACTGCCTGATGCTCGGCGCTGACATGGGTCTGTCATCTATCATATAACCGGACCCCCGCAGCGGCCATGAGCATCTTGCGACCTGTACTGCCGCTTCGACAGGCCAACAAGCCTTCAGTCTCCGTTGTCCTGCGAATACATAGTACGGGCCATTCGAGCATGCTTCGCTGCTATTCATTCTCTCGCTTCACAAGTTCTGGTGATCACAGTACAGTAAAGGTACCCCAACCCTGACTACTCTACCATCTGCTCACAGTTGGAAACCCAAGGCTCAAATGCACCGATAAGACATATGGATTCGTTTGTTCACAGGGATTACAAATACAAAACGCATTCATGTTACTCGAAGTACTAGGAATAGTGATACTACGCCAGATACACGCTACTAGCTGGAACACTGGCAGTAGACAAATACCATGCTTGACTTGGTAAACATAGATGCTGAATGATAGCGACAGAATCCGCGCAGGACAAATTACCACGTTTCTGTGTAGATGATCTCAAGGAACGTGGAAATAACTATATATAAAGCCAAGGCATTGCATATACTTGCATCCCACTCTGTGTGTGAGTTTGGTGCCACATGTCAAATATTATCAACAAGGATACTCCTCGATTATGACTGATCCTCTGACACATGTCCCTGAACATTGTCCAAACCAGGATAGAGCGAGGGTATGTGGCAAGGGCCGTTCAGCAGTAACTTTTGCTAGAGCATACTCAGCATCCCCGACATGTCTGAGTGGCGATGAGCAACACCACAAAGCCACACTACACTGCACCCGGCTTAGTTGATCACATGCTGCCATCATTACAGGATTCAAATACATATGGAGAAGTGAACGTTGCTGACAGCCAAAAGCTGAATAGGAGTACAATAGGTTAACAGCTCTATCTTTCCAGCTCCTCCGTGTTTCAAGGTAAGGAGACTGCCACCTCGATAAGCTCCCCCCTGATTTTACAAAGACGTGCTTCCGTATGTCCATGCCGTGTCTCGAGACAACTAAAGCACCTCTCCTATGATTTTCGAGGCCTCGCGGTAGGTTTGGAGAAGCTTCTCACATTTCTCACGCTCCTTCTTGACCCCATCATCCTCGTAAAGCAACTCTTCAAACAACGTCTCCTTGTAGAGCTCGCTCACAAGGCGGTTTTGGACCACATCTTTGCTGTGGTTTACCAGCAGGTGCATGACGGCTTTTGGCACCTGGTCGGCAATGGACTCCCTAACAATGTTGAAGTAAGATGAAATAAGAGCTCTGATAAGCTCAGTCTCCATGGCCTCACGATCAGTCAAAGCTGGCTCACCACCAGCTCCCTAACAAGAGAAGAGTCAGTGCTTGTGACATATTCATATTCAAGAAAAAAACTTACGAAATGCGCGCCCAAATCACGAGAGTCATCTTCGCGTGCCTGTGGTTGAAGAGCAGACCGGCTCGACAGCGTATCGTCATTTCGGCGGATGCTCTGCGAGAAGGTAGGCTCCAAACTTTGACTAACGTGCCTCGCAATGGAAAGGTCTCTTCCATGAGCACTACCAGAGCCCATAGGCATCGGTGAAGCGCCGTCTTTGCCGAAGAAGTAGTTGAGGAATGAGTCTCGCGCGCCGCCGAGCCCCTGTTGGTTGTTCAGCCTCGAAGGGGAGATTGACCGAACACCGTTCACAGCTGCGTTGAGCGAAACAGCACCATGCTCTCTGAGACCTGGAGACAAGCTTCGGGCTCCTTTGACGGCCTGTCGGCGAGCCGGTGCCGAGTCACCCTTTTCGACAACGGCCGACTCTTCGTCATCCTCAGCAGGTGTGTCGGCACCATTCGCCCCAAGCTCCTTAAGACGCCGTCTTTCTCTTCTGTCTTTCTCTTCTTGTATGAGGCGCTTGCGTTCTCTCTCCTGTTTATTGCTAACAACATGACTCATCGCAGCTGCGGCACCCAGAAAGTTTGGATGGTTAGTATTGATGTAAGCGCGCTGAATGGAGATCAATGACTCAACATAGGATGATGCCGGGCCCAGTCTTTCCCGGAGTAGATCGGAAACAACTTCAATTAGTTTGGCCTGCAGTCTTGGGAACCGCGAGAGTTCTGTTGAGCCACAGGTGTGGCAAATTTTGATGAGCTCTTCATAGACAAGTTCAACACAGCGCTGACTAGGAATCTCGAGGAGTTTGATTTGAGGTTTGACGAGAAGGTCGAACGCCATCTCCGGGACGAACAGACTTGGGCGGGGACCAGTTGAGTTGCGGATAGCCGTGCGGATATCAAGGGCGGAAAGGTTAGATGTTGGATCGATAGACTCGAGGGAGCTACCGAACACCGAGTTGAAAATGTAATAGATGCGAGCACCACCACATAGCTCCTTAGTCGAGATCTCAGTCGAAGTGCCGTCGATTGAAGAGATGAAAGAAGTGGCAAAGCGGGTCATGAGCTGTAAGATGAGAGACCCGCGATGTTCCTTGCCACTGAAGTGCATATCGCCGTAGCTGGCCAGTTCCTGTTGGGTTTGCCCCATGAGGGTGTTGAGGCGTGCCTTAATATCCGGCATGCGTTCTCGAATATGCGCCATAAGGGTCGTGTTCAACGTCTTAGACAAGTACTGCGTGCCGCAGCGGGTAGCAATATTGCGATAAGCAGGGTGGTGCTTGAAGAAGTCGGCCTCGTCCTTCAGCGCCTCCTCCATTGGCTTGCTACCCTGGATGTCCTGTTGCGAGCGGTTGACAACGCCAATGAAGCCAAGTTTCAATGGATACACACGTCCCGAGAGGATGTCCAAAGCGTTCGTTCCATGATCCATCAAATCGACCTTAGTGAGCACGCCAATAGTCCGCCTGCCGAGCGGGTCAACGTGTCTCGCTAGCTTTAGAGCTTCCGAGTTGACGATGTCCACATTGGCAGGAGAGACGGCGAGGACGATACTGTTAGGCTTGGCAATGTATTCCGAAATCAAATTGCGAGTCTGCTTCTCTATATCGGTCGGTTGATCGCCTATGGGCACCTGGGAGATTAGTGTTAGCACCCAATTTTCAGTGTCCATCATGGATGCGAGCACATACCTTGGTTAAACCGGGGAGATCCACGAGCGTCAGGTTCAGGACGTGGGGAGAGTAGATTTTTAGGTTTATCGGTTGTCGATTGATACCCTTATTGCTGCCAGCCACTCTCGAGGTTTCATTCTCGATCTCCCGTTTAACGTCGCCGAAGTCGTTGAACCTGCGATTGGGAATGTGGTGGAACTCGGCCCATTCAGATCGCCGAGCTTGAGATGGGGACCTGTAGGGGTCGTTTGCTAGCTCGGTGGTGCTCTCGTCCTCAGGAACGTTAATGAGCTGCAAGATGAGGGGCCGCCTCGTAACGATGCCACTCCCACGGGGCAGGAAATCACGCCCGACAATGTTTTCTAGAACAGATGATTTTCCTGCGGATTGCGACCCAACCACAACCTATGACGAGTCAGATTTAAGAGGTTATGATCAGGTTATACCAAAGGATCACCCACAATTTGCGGAAGGTCAAGGGAGTCGCTGCCAATGGTGTTGAAGACCAAGTCTTGCAGCTTGTTGACGGTGCCCAAAAGGTCATCTCCAAGAGAGGCCATGATGACTATAGCTTGACTGTCGTATCTTGTTGCGGAAAGTAAAGAGTCTGCAGCGATAGGTTGGAATGGTTCGGCGCAGCTAGAAGCTTGAACGCAAGGAAGGTTGATGCCGTCGGAAGGTTGTTGGTCGAGTTCGAAACTGGGGTTGTACCGTGAGACGCGACAATGTCTAAAGTGCAGTCGCTAGTAGCGACGCCGCGTTCTGGAGAGTGTATGGGATTTGGCTGAGCGATTGATGGGCAAAACTGGCAGACGGCTAGCAATGTCAAGCGTGCCTGCGACCTGCGTTATGCTCGGCGTACGGGGGCAAGGTCCTTCTTGATAGATCAATTTGGAGATTTCATGCGCGATCCACCAACTCCCTTGAAGATCTTGGACCTCTGGACAGTTAGCACGGTCCTCAGCCTGGTCCCGACTAGCCGCCTTATGATTGATTGTCTGTAGATAAGGATAACATGCGTATTGCAATAGTGGGGCGAGACGCTCAAGGGCATTATGGCTGGTTACGACACACGCGTTCTTGATGACATCTCAGTAACAATACGTATATAGCTCAAACCGTCGATAGAACGCCACTTGATTCCAGTGACGGTCGGCCGAACAGATCAGGCCGGACCCAAAGTGTTTACTGCGGTAGAATAGTGTGTTTTGCGAACGAGCACTAGTATCTTCTTATCAGTAGTCGAGTACAGCAGCCTGTACCCAGTGTATTCGTGGGAGGGCTATAGTCTGATATCGAGTTTGCCTCGTGGGTCATCTTGCTGCACACACCTCCAGGCTCGTTCATTGCATTCCAGGGTTATTAATACTCTATTGTGGACGACAGCGACGACAAGGGACAGAAACGATTTGCAGTACAGCTTTACTGGGCCTCACGTGCATAGGTAGCCTTCAGGCACACGTTGCCCTCATAGGTCCAGAAGCCTGTAACATCGCACGTCACATCACTATCACCAACATCCGATGAGTTCCTTCGGCAGTCCGGGCGGAGGACCGGCATATTCCAAGCCCACGCCGTGAGCAATCTCTTGACTTACTGGGATGGATTTTTGGATTTTAGACATCTAATGTTCATCTTACAGTCCGCAGCGGGGTAGCTTCCCCCTCGACCACGATGGTATCCTTCTCCCGTCGCCCTGCCAAATCCATGACAAGCTTTGCTAACCCCCTGGGCGTGTCATCTGCCAACAGGAGAGTGTAAACATGTCATGGCTTCATACTTGTCTTGTATGAAGAAAGTTTCTGGCGTCAATGATGCCGCGTGTCGAGATCTGGCTAAGTCTTATTTGACCTGCCGCATGGACCGGTGAGTTACGCTTGCAGAGCAAACTTCGCGCTGGCTGACTGACATTGCCTCAAGCAACTTGATGGCCCGAGACGACTTCAAAAACTTGGGATTCGGGAACGATTCTCATGAAACCAAGCGGACGGGTGGGCAACAATCACAGGATGGTGAAGGAACTAAAGGAGAATTGCGATGGTAAGAGAATGCTTTGGCTCAGGTAGCCGGCTTTGCTACAAGCCCTTGGCGCATGCTGCCCTACGAACGGGTTTGGTTTGTAGGTGTGCAACCGAGCTTGATAATAATAGGAACTTGATATCTAATCCGCATGTGATCTACTCCAGTTGAGTTGAGCGTGACAGGCTGTAGGCTGCTTAGGTTCTTATTTCTATGGGCAAGGTCAAATGTGACTGGGTACCTGGCACTGGTGGTATCTTTGTTCTTGGCCCGCCACACCTGAGTAGGTACCTAGGTAGACGCGTCTGTGCGGCGATGTCGCGTAACTAACTGCATTGTTGAGTTGGTGCCGTTGCCGTGACGACCGTGTCGAGGACCAGCCCAACTCAACTCAAACCAGTGATTACAAGATTGTAATTGAGGCCACAAAACACCCTTCAGACAAGACGTACACCAAACAGACAAATCTGCACTGTTGCCCAAGAAGCCGTCATAAATCCTTAACTTTGCCGACTTCACATTTATTCGCGAACTGGCGGCGAACGGCCCTGATCCATCATTTCGTGAGAATGAACCACAAGAAATCCACCGAAAAGACCCGAAAGGTCACCCCGCCATCGCCGACGTACATGGACAATGGGCAATTTGGTAAGAGCTAAGTGTACACATTGGTTGCGGTCCATCAACACGAACGATTGATCTGACAACAAGGGATACATGCAGCTGCCTATCTTGCCGACCTTCGAAACAATCGTATTGCTCGCCCGGGCGGCGCAAGGCCCTTGCCGCCCACGAGCGTTCGAAGCCGTGAAGAGCGGTCCACCAGCAAAGATGATGCCATTACCATAGGAACTTCGCCTGCAAGCGTGCCAGAATTACTGAGTAGTGCCGGGGCGACTCCCAACACCAAATGTAATACTTCCACCAGTGTGCCGTCCCGTCTCTTGAAGGCAAGCATGAAAGCCCGCGATTATCAGCCTACTCAGCCCAAATCACTCAACGGACCTTCCGATCTGTTGCCTAGTGTCAAGTACATAGAAAGAGGTCAGAGGTGGATGGAGAAAGAAGAAGCAGGCTCTCTTCGCCATGCAATGGATGACATGAAGCTTGCCGACAGTCAGAGCACACATGATGACAGCGACGAGCGGAAATTGTACGATGCAGCACAGGAAGAAGCCTCAGAGCTAGTGTGGCAGCATCGTCATGGAGTCGAACCTCAACCTAATGCGCCATACCGCTACAAGCCCCACATGAGGAAGAACAGCTATCAGCACGCTCGCACGGCAAGCTTCGGAAGGAGAACTGGGGGTAACGCTGTGACGTCTCTGGCGGGCGAAGCGACCTCGTCCAACAGGTCCTCGATTGACACCAACGCGCATTCTCGCAGAAGCCGATTCTCTTTGGGATACTCACATGTACCATCTGCCGACGGAGCGTATAATGCGTTTACGGAGACTCTGGTGCACGAGCCTCGTATGCAACAAGCAGCACCGCCAACACCCCTTCCACCGGGGAGCCGCCGGGCTAACACCAAGAGGAATATCAGTGGTGAGATTGATCGTCCGTTCTCCGGGGACCAGATCTGGGAAGAACCTGAAGGTACATTGCCTTACAACAACGCCCATGTCCCGCAAATGGGTGTAGATGCCCCCTTCACAGCCGCCTCAGAGAAATCCTGCAATCAAGGTCACTTCACTGCGACTTCGCCTGCTAGAGGAGTCGGTGCGCAGAAGGCAAGGGTCTCGATCAACATTCATCGCGAGCCCCCTAGCCAGTCACGAAACCCTCAGTATACAACCAATATTTCCCACGTCATTCTTCGGGAAGACCAAGAAACGTGTAGGGATAGTGGGGTCGAAAGAAGAAGCAATGATATTCGAGAAGCGACCAGCATGAGGTTGAAGGACCGCAGTGCCAAGTTGCCCACTCCTTCCGCCGTCAGCGACAATCCAGGACGTCCTATCGTAAGCTTCGACACAGACTGGAAAGCTCCAGAGGACACGGTTGATAAGAAGCCAGGGTCAGCTATCAGCAGCTCGTCCCCATGGAGAGAACAATCAGGTCACATATCACCTACTACCCCCCTGATCGTGATACCAGACCAGGATGACATGGATTCGGAAGCGTCCCGATGTCCACCGGCGCCTTCCATCATCGTCCAGGGTGCATGCGAAATACCCAACGACATGCCAGGCATCCCATCAATCGTAACGCCCGAGGATAACCATCATGGAACAAGATCGTCGACACGTCCTCTTCCAACACCGCAGGCACGAGGGGGCAAAAACGCAGCCGGCACACAGCCTAGAGGCCACTGGTCGCCAGCTCCCGTAAGGGACTATCGGTCGAGCACCTCATGTCACGAATGTAGTCTTCCAATCGAGGGCCGCTTCGTTGCACTTGCTGGTGTCCCAGAACGGTTCCACCCCCAATGTTTCACATGCTACTCTTGCGGTACAGGGCTGGAAGCTCTCGAAATCAGTCCTGAACCCGAGTTGCATCGTACCAATCGCCTGAGCAGAATCAGGCGTAGGGTCGAGGGGGAAATTCTGGAAGAGACGCCAGGCATGACACGAGAAGAGGACGGAGACGAACG